AAAAAAAAAAAGAAGCAAAAATGTTAAATACTTTAGTGTTTGTCTCTCGATTACAAACACATACACACACACACACACACAAACATACACTCCTATTGTGTGTAAAACAGCTTTGCGAAGTTTATAGTTGGTCTGACATTTGAAAATGGTTGCACAATAAAATAATTGTGGAAAAAACCTTTTATTATAATGAAAAAAAGAATACGCGATAATAAAAATAGAATATGAAAAATTTTTATAAAGAAATTTATTTATTTATTATTATGCTTCTTTTTTTTTTTCTCATTATATTAATAAAAAATTTGAAATATTTCTCGTCTAGTCGTTATTGCAAATATAATCCATTGAATAAAGAAAAAAAAGCTAAAAAAAAAAAAAAATAAATAAAAGGAAATATAACATTGTAACGTTGAACGTTCAATTAGGAAAATGCATAACAATATTTTCCATTCTTGTTGATGTTTTAAAGCAAAAGGTTCGCCGAAAAGGTTTACTCATTTTGATAAACAAATTGCAACATTTTGCAGCTTGCATGGTTTCATGCATGATCCTATAGGAACAAAGTCCATTGCCAATGGAATTTCAAAGAGATGTATACGAAGAGCTAAAGTCCATGTAAGCATGTTAGAATTTGCGAGCCGATGCAATGCTTAATTGCTGCTTAACGTTAGTAGGAAGGAGTAAAAAGTTGTCGTTGCATGTCATCTGTTAACGGTTTTTTTTTGCTTAAAACTTATTTTTTTCGTCTACTAAACGTTCAATGTGGGGCGCACGATTTCTATCAAACAAAGACTGTTCTATAAAGATCTTTACAATTACAAAATGTAATCAACATGTCAACATAAGTGGGAATATATTTTTGGAGCTTGTCTACAAAGTCCTTGCTTCCAATATGTCAACCATCAATTTATCAAATTCGTGTTCCTTACGCTGGCCGCCTTGCGTATTAGGCGACTTTGCAAATCGAAAACGCTCACTGCAATTGAGCTGACGTAAATTCTTCCTCTAAACATATAACAGGAGTTCCGGGAAAATTCCTATTCAGCTCTTCATTAAACTGTGCGATAATCCAACGTGATTTTGGGCGACTTTTACATTGCATGATATATTGGACAAATATCTAAAGGGCGATGACATTCACATGACACAAGTTCAAATCTGAAATTCAGCGCCAGCAGTTGCCTAACTACATAGAAACGTAAATTCTGCCTTAGGAAACTCCGCCTTTTTTTTCTGTCTTTGACATATCACGGAGAGAACTCACTAGTAGAGTTCTAAGCGAGAGAAACTTTTGTTAACTTTTTTCTTTAAAAAAAAATTTCGGAAAATAAAACAAAGTCATGTGCGCCCATGCATTTGTCACATAAACTGTATTGGAAATATGTTCGATCTCCGTAAAAGATATCCAAAAAGGAATTTTGCACAAATCATCCAATATTCGCAGGCACGCCCTTGCGTTTAATGTACGACATTTCAAATGTATGCAGAACTTATGCCTAAGCCAGTATTTATTTTGTTACTCCGTCTAAAAATTTCTGCGCTAGTTTTAAAAGTCCAAAAATCAGCTAAGCGTAGTCTTGACTGAACGTGGTTCGGATCAAGCGCAGAGGGATGGTGTTGATGGGGTGTACTTTTCGCTAGGCGCAGCGATGAACGGATGAATTGTTGGCCAGACGTAGCGTTGATCAAGCGTACTGTGCGTGACTGTGCTTAGTGTTGACCACACGTAGTGATATGATTAATTTGAAGAAGTGCTGACTTGTGACGCCAATCATCCTTGGCTTGTTTCTCCCTTCGCCCTCTACTGGTGATGATAAAATCAAAACAATTGAATACGACCCTAAGTATGTCTTTAGCTTATTTCCACTATTAAGAAGTCCAATGTTACCATAGTTCTGCCAGTTCTACCAAAGTTCCATTAGCAACGCTATACTTGAGCAATTTGTTAGACCATTGTCTTTAGAGCAGCAGCAGCAAGCAGGCATTGATCAAGGCTAGTAGTGTAAGAACAGGGACTAACTTAATAAACTGAGTCGCATAATGGTATTCCTATGCTTTTACAGATCGTTCTATCCCAGTTAAGCTATTCAATTACACTTCCACTCTTCTATTCCATTACTCACTACTCTTCTACCAAATATTATCACAAAAAATAAATGTAAAATTGTGCAATATCGTGTTTTGTATCGAATAAAAAATATATTTTTTTAGAAGAAAAATATATTCTTCTACTTCTGGTATTGTCTCCAATTTAAGAAATTGTTTTGAAAATATTTCAACAAACATTTGTAGTTTTTTTTTGGTTTTTTTTGGTATTTTTTCATTGTACATTTTCTGTTGCATTGTGATGTACGATATTTTTGAGGCAAAATATATTTGAAATGTTGTAGATATGTAGGAATTTTTATGCAAATTTTAAAGAAAATATTCGAGTTATGCTTATTAAAGTGCAATTTTCTAATAATGCATTTTATTATTATTTTCTTTTCTTTTTTTTGTTTGCCAAAAATTCAAATAATTCCATTTTGTTTTGTCTTTTGTTTCTTTCTTTTGTTAGAATTTTTGCTTTGTGTCATCGCATGCTTCGTATCGTATTTGCATAGAGAAGCAAAAGAAATTTATATTTCGTTGAGATCAAATTTTTGATATCTTTAAAAGTACTTTATATACGTATACGCACGATATTAAGTAATTGTTTTTTTCAACTTTCTCTATGCGCCGCGAGATATTTTATTAAGAATAACATCACAGAAACCATTTATATCTCCAATTCTCTCAATGACACAATAGATTGATAAAATGGAAATTTAATTAAATGGATTCGTTTCCTTTTTGAAAAGAAGAGCAGAGAGATAGATAGATTCTTTATTTATATTATTATTGTTATTGATTTTTATTTGCATCAAATATTAGCCAATGAACGGTCAATAATGAAAATAATGTTAATTAGGAGCATATTAAGTGAGTTATGTCAAGCAGAGAAAGAATTGTAATCATAGGGAATAAATTGAATTACCTATAACATCGATGTAGATCAAGGTGTTCAACTTGATAGTTTAGCAAAAATAATTTTGATCAAATATATTGTCTATCAATTACCAATTACGTCTTGGTCTTCTAACCAATAACGTATATGGCAAAAAAATAGAAAGGATAGTGTGGTATATTACATAGTAGCCTTTCTATTATGATGCTCTTATAAATTACGATAAACAATTGAATATGAGACAAAAGGTCTTAATGGAACAATAATGTGCCGAAGGCAATGGTTGATATTGCGAGTATCGAAGATTCGCTCCAAGACGAATTAAGCTGCATTGAATAGCAGTTTTAGTCGCTTAATCATTTAACTGCGTCGCCTTCTTTGCAAAATGTGCATTTAAATTGCATAGCGATTCCGAGTATACTCGTTTTATATGGAGCATGTGTAATATGTAATTAGACAAAATGACTTACGCACATTCCAAGAGACATTATTATGACAAATATACATTCATAATGATAAAATCTTTTGAGGAAATCCGACAACGACAGATATGACGTGACGTATAGATTTGTCATACAATAAAATTTTAGACTTTTTTGCACAAAGTAACTTAAGCAACAACGTTTTCACATAATCACACCTAAGATAAATAAGTAAGAAAATGATATTCGGTCGCCTATTTTCAACATCAAACAGGAACTTCGAATGTTTCTGCCAAATTTCATTTTCATGGCCAGGAGAATGTTTACAACATACCTCAGGCAAACGGACAGACGGGCATGCTTAAGCCAATGCAGAATTTGATGTTGATCGAGAATAAATATATTTCGTGAGGTCTCTGAAGTTAGCTTGTGGGCGTTGCAAACGTTCTGACAAAATAAATGTAACACCCATTCCTTCATAATTAATTCTATATTAAGGTAACATTAAGGGAAAGGAAAGTGCTTGGGACGATTTGAAGTATTATTAAAATTTAGCTGACTGAACAAGAATAACCACGAAATACTGACTCGAATAAGTTTCGTTGAAGAGTATCAATCTTTATTATATGGCAATTAGTGCATTAGTTTCGGGATTTATATATACCTTCCGACTTTTGCATAAATCAAGGAGAAAAATTGATGTTATAGAAGCCTTTATTGCTGTTACATAAATCCATAGCCTTACTGTTTGTTAATCGTAGTCAATCCGTGCTTTCATTTTATTACTCAGTCAGCCATATTGCCCGTTTATTTATTTATTTTTTTTTTTTTTACTCAGCAGTAACCCTGCTTACATTTGTATATAATTTTATTAAAGGCAGTTTTGCCACTGAATTCAACTCTCAATTTTCTCTTTTATTTTATCAGTTAGCCAAATCTGTTGTTGATTTATCCTCACTTTTCAACTCAGGAGTAACTATGCTTGCATTTATCTATATGTTAATTATGGGTCCTTCGATGCTAGGTTCAACTCTCATTTTTCGCTTTTATTTTATTAATCAATTGTTCATGTAGGCTGTTGATATATCATCATTTTACAACTCAGCAGTACCTATGCTTGCATTTATCCATAGTTTAATTATTACAGTTTTGTTACTGGGCTCAATACCCATACTTCTCTTGTATTTAATTGTGCCTTCTGATTTATTGTCATTTGTCAACTCAGCAGTTACTCTGCCTACCTTAATATACAGCTTTACTGTATTTCATGTTAGTATGCGGTTAAGTCAAAGTTATTTGACTTAACTACCACTCTTAGTTTACTCTTTTCA